GACGACGACGGCGCCGGGGAACTGTTCGGCGAAGTAGAGCGACGCCGAGCCCCAGCCGCAGCCGACGTCGAGGATCGACTTCGTGGACGCGTCGACGCCCGCGCGCGCCGCGACCTGCGCGAGCGAGTCCGCCTCCGCCCGCGGCAGCAGCTCCGCCGCGCGGCTCTGGAGCGCGTTGCCCGGCCACGTGCTCTCGGCGTCGGCGTAGAAGCAGGCGCTGTACTTGCGGTGCGGGCCGAGGCAGAGCGCGTAGAACCGCGCGTCGACCTCGTAGTGCTGCTCGTTCGCCTCGGCGGTGCAGACCTGGGCAGCAAAAGGGTGATTCAACGTCGCTTCAACGTGAGTGTTCCGCGCGCGCGCGTTCCGGAAAAAGCATCCACGCTTCAAGACCGTTCCGAGAGATGATCGCTCGTCCGAAAATCAGCCAAAACGAGTGGAAAATGGCCGAGATAGGAGCCTTTGAAGTTGGGAATTTCGCTCTCTTGTCCTGCCCTGGTACAGACGGCGACGGGCGCCTTGACGAGCGCCCGGATGGTCTCGCTGAGCTTCGCCTGGGCGCCGGCGAGGCCCGCCTCGTGAAAGCCCGCGGCGCGGTTCGCGGCGAGGCCCGCGTCGTCGCAGTGGCGGAGCTGCTGCGCGGACAGCTGGCGGATGCCGAAGCGCGTGACCGCGTCGGGCAGCCAGCCGCGCTCGAAGGCCTTCGTCGCCGCGCCCTTCAGGGCCTTGATGGCCGCGTCCTTGAGCGTCTTGCCCGTGCCGCCGTGGGCGCCCTCGGTCGCCTCCACGGCCAGCGACTCGTCGGTCTTGTCGAGGCGGATCTGGAGCACGTCGATGTGTTTCGTCGCGAAGCCCGCCTCGCAGTACTCGAGGTAGTAGCGCCACTTGCGCACGAAGGCGTCGTCGAAGCCCAGGCCCCGGACGGCGTCGAGCTTCGCCTCGAAGCGCAGGCGCCAGGCGGCGAGCGTGCGCGCGTACGACAGCCCCAGGCTCTCCGTCTTCGACGCGTCCAAGCGGAGCGCGAGCGACCCGAGCTTGGGCAGCGCGGCCTCGACGGCCTTGACGCAGACGAGGGAGCTGCCCGGGAAGACGTGCTTGCGGATGAAGTCGCTGCCGCGGATGTAGCCCTCGTAGCGCGCGTCGGGCACCGTGATGACCTGGAGCGCCGCAGCGCCGCCGCCCCGCAGCGCGCCGTGGATCGCGGCGAAGTAGCCGGGGAGGAACTCGTGGCCCACGGCCTCGATCATCTCGCAGGAGAGGACGCGGTCGAAGGCGCGCGTCTCGCAGAAGGTCGCGGCGACGTCGCGGTAGTCGCAGAACTCGACGCGCGCGCGCGCCGCGATCGAGGGCGGCGCCTTGGCGACGCGCGCGCGCGCCTCCGCGAGCTGCTCCTTGGAGATGGTGATGGCCACGTAGTCGACGTTGGGAAAGCGCTCGCAGCAGCGCAACGCCAACGACCCCCAGCCGCAGCCGATCTCGAGCACGCGGTCGCCGTCGGCGACGCCCGCCTTGTCGATGAGCGCGTCGAGCTTGGCGAGCTGCGCGGCCTCCAGAGCGGCGTCGGACGCGTCGTCCGCCGGGTCGTCGGGCGGTCCGCCGTCGTCCAGGAGGCCCTCGCGGCGCAGGTAGGGCGCGTGGTCGGCGTAGAGGCCGGACGAGTAGGTCATCGTGGCGTCGAGCCAGAGCTCGAAGAAGTCGTTGCTGAGGTCGTAGTGCGCGGCGATGTTCTCCCGGGACCCGGCCCTCGTGTTCGCTTTCAGCTTGTGCAAGGCGTAGTTGACGAGCTTCGTCGCGCCGTTCCAGAAGCCCGCGCTTGCGTCCTGGGGCGACGCGGCGGCGCCGTCGCCCTTGAGCGCGATCGCCGCGGTCAAGACGCGGCGGATCGACGGCCGGAGGTCGAGGGACCCCTCGACGTAGGCCTCCGCGAGGCCCATGGACGGGTCGCCCAGGAGCCGCCAGGGCGCGCGCGCGTCGTTGACGACGACGGCGACGCGGCCCGTCGACCGGACGGCCTCCGCGGCGACGAGGTCCGACCCCTCGGGCAGCACGAGCGCGATCTCCGGCCGCGGCAGGGACGACGCCGCCGCCAGTTTCCGCGCCGCGGCGCAGACGACGTCCAGCGCCCACCGCGCGAGGCGCGGCGTCGTCGCGAAGTCGTAGCGCTCCTCCGCGGGCGCCGCGCCGAGCAGCGCGCCGACGGCGTCGTACGCGCTTTTCAGGCCGTCCTCGTGGAAGCCGTAGCCGCACCACGCGCCGGCGTAGTAGCAGCCGCCCCGGCCCTGGAGGCCCGGCAGGGCCGCGCGCGCCGCCGCGGCCGCGGCGTCGAGCACGGGGTGGTCGAGCGTCTTCCGCCACAAGCCCGCCGCGCCCGCGGGCGGGTTGAGCGTGATGAAGAGGTCGTCGTCGTCGACGCCCGGCTGGAGCGCGTTGGCCCAGTAGGTGAGGACGCCGTCCGGGCGGCAGTTCCAGGCGGCCCAGGCGCCCCGGTCCGCGGGCATCAGGGCCGCGTCGCGGTGCACGAGGACGTCGTTCGCCGTCGTCGTCAAACCCGACAGCGCGTCGCGCGCGGGCGCCACGGCGGCGTCGGACGACGCGGCGAGGGCCTTCGCCGTCGCCGGCGCGGGGCAGGCGAAGACGACGGCGTCGAAGGGCCGCGACGTTTCGCCGTCGGCGAAGGACAGCGCGAGGCCGTCGTCCGCGCGGTCGACGCCGACGACCGCGCGGTTGAGCTCGTAGCGCTCCGCGCCGACGGCCTCTACGATCTTGGCGACGTAGTCGGCGCTGCGGCGCCGCGGCGTGCGCCAGCGGGGCCGCGACCGCTGGAGCATGAAGTGGTTCCCCAGGAACGTGAAGACGCCGACCGCGGGGAAGTCGGAGAGCACGTCGCCCGACGCGCACCGCGACCAGATCGCGCCGACCATGGGCCGCACGAACTCGTCGGCGAGGCGCTTCGAGAAGCCGTGGCGGTCGAGCCAGGCCCGCGTCGACTCGGCCGCGTCCGCGGCCGCGTCCGCGGCGTGCGCCTTCGCCAACCGCTCGAAGCGGAGCACCTCGACGAGGAGCGCCGCCCGTTTCGCGACGGCGACGACCGTGGCCACGGAGAACCCGCTCGCGAAACAGCCAGCGAAGGGGTGCTTCGACGACCAGCAGCCGCCCGCGGAGCCGAGGCTCAGCGACATGTCGCTCTCGACGTGGTCGACGCCGAGCTCGGCGAACAGACGCGTGAGCCGCGGGTAGTTGGCCGTGTTGAAGACCTGGAAGCCGACGTCGACGTCGCAGGTGCCGTCGCCGCCGGCCCGGGGCACGGCGACGGTCATCGCGTGGCCGCCGGGCGCGTCGGACGCCTCGAAGACCGTGACGTCGACGCCCGCGCGCCGCAGCAACAGCGCCGCGCCGCTGCCCGCGATCCCGGCGCCGACGACGGCGACGCGCCGGTGGCCGTCGCGGCCCAGGTCGCTCCAGGACCGCTCGCTGCCGTCGGACTCGCCCTCGGCGGCCGGCGGCGCGCCGCCGCCGCCGGCCGGCGGCTCCGCGCCGCCCCCCGGCGGCGGCGCCGCGGAGCCGCCGCCGGAGCCGCCGTCCGCCGCGGGCGGCGCGCCGCCGCCGGGCGGCCCCTTGCCCGACGGCTGGCCGAGCGTCGCCGCCGCGCGCCGCGCGAAGCCGAGGGCGGCGACGAGGACGACCGCCGGCGAGCCGCACGCGCGGCCGAGGCTCAGCAGGAGCAGCCAGAGCTTGCCGTGGAAGAGGACCTCGACGGCGCGCGAGAAGGGCGTCTTCACGCCCGACGGGTGCGGGTAGAACCTGGCGCCCTTCGCCAGAAGCGCGGCCGCGTGGACGTGGATGAGCAGCACCGCGACCTGGGGCGTCGCCCCGAGCGCCGCGCGGAGCCGCGCCGCGAGACTCGCCGGCGGCGCCTTCGCCTCGGCGTCGAACGTCGCGTCGAAGTAGCGGTCGCCCGCGCGCGACACCTTGACCGCGAGCCGCAGGCCCTTGGCCGCCGACGGCGGCGGCGCGAGCCAGTCGTAGGCCTGGCCCATGGGCTGGAAGGGCGACACGTGCATCTGCTTCGCGTCCGGGCCGTAGGCGCCGTTCGGAGCGACGCGGTGGACGTAGAGCGTCTCCTCGAGCCAGGGCGTGTTGCTGACCTCGAAGACGACGTGGGACAGGTCGCCGCTCTTCGCGCCGTAGACGTAGTAGACGGCGATGGGGTTGAAGGTGTAGCCGAGGTAGCGGGGCATGCACAGCAGCTTGACCGCGCCGGGCGTCTCGCCGCCGCGGCGCGCGCACAGCTCGCGGACCGCGTCGGCGACGTCCGCCGGCGAGGCCAGCGCCCGCTTCAGCGACCGCAGGTGGTCGCCGGGCCGCCAGGACAGGAGCCAGCCCGCCGTCAGCGGCGCCATCGCGTCGCCGTCGTCGAGCGGCAACAACCACATCGCGTGGCGCCGGACCTTGAACGCGTGGTCGGGCTCGGACGCGATGCGGCGCCGCGCGTGGGCCACCGTGCCCTCGAAGACGAGGAGAGTGGACGGCTTCGCCGGCGCGCCGCCTTTCGCGCGGCGCTCGAGCGCCTCGAGGTAGTCCAGGTGCTTGGCGAGGCCCGCGGTCATCGACGGCGCCTCGTGGTAGGGCACGCCGTGCGCGTCGCAGGTGGCCTTGACGATGGGCGCCAGCGCCGGCAGGTGGGCGTGGTGCACCGTGGGGAAGGCGTGGTGCTCGACCTGCTGGTTGAGGCCGCCCGTGAGGAGCGCGACGACCGCGGAATCCGTCGCGAAGTTGCACGAGTTGGCGATCTGCGTCGCGTAGAACGTCGCCGTCGGCGCCTGCTCGCCCAGGGTCTCCTCGAGCAGGTGGGCGATCTGGGTCACGGCCATGAAGACGAGGGACCCGAGCGCCGCGGGCGCGAAGACCCACGCCGCGGCTCCCGCGAGCGAGTAGTCTTTCGAGAAGAAGGGCCAGGCGAAGAAGGCGCCGAGGTGGAGCAGGCGGCCCAACACGTGGACGACGACCTTGCCGTCGAGGCCCGCGGGCACGGACGAGCCCGGGTAGACGCCCCGTAAGAGCACGCGGAGCGGCGCGAGCGTCGTGAGACCTACCGGCACCGCGACGGACCAGACGAGCAGCACGTCGCACCACTTGGGCAGCCAGGCGGGCAGCATGCGCGCCTTGTAGCGGTCCACGTGGACGACGTCCGGGTCCTCGCCGGCGACGTTCGGGGAGAGGTGGTGGCCCAGGACGTGCTGCAGCGTCCACTCGTGCGGCGACGTCACGCAGAGGATGCCGTAGCAGCCCAACACGTTGACGAGGCGGTTCGTGCTCAGCGCGTTGTGGCTCGCGTCGTGGGCGACCGTGAAGGCGACGAGCTGGCCGCAGAGGGCCAGCGCGACGAGGCCGACGATCGAGCCCCGGACCCAGCCGACGTACGAACGCAGGAAGGAGCAGACCACGAGGCCCATCCAGGCCCAGCGCGCGCGCGGGGCCTTGGTCGCCGCGGCGAGGGAGCCGCCGAGCGTCCGGCGGCGCAGGCGGAAGTGCCAGCGCGCGCGGCACGCGAGCTCCTCGGCGAAGCCCTTGTCCAGGAGCGCGGCCGGCGGCGCCGCGGGCGGCGCGCCGGCCGCGCAGGCGGCGTCGAAGGCCGCGGCCTCGCGGTCCGCGCGCTCCAGCGTCGCGCGCACGCCCTCGCCGGCGGCGAAGGGCTCGGGCACGACGCTCTTGAGCACGCGCGCGGCGACGCGCGTGTCGTCGACGCGCGTCGCGGACAGCCAGGCCCGCACGGTCTTGGGGTCGCTGAAGGCGTGCAGGGGGGCCCAGGTCCGGCTCAGGTCCCGCCCGCCGGCGTAGCGCAGCGCCAGGTCGCCGCCTAAAAAGGGAGCGCTTCAATCCTCGTTTCCGTATCCGTCGACGCGGGCGAACGCGCCGGGATGCCTCGTCGCGAGCTTGCGCAGGTCGTAGACGTCGCCGTCGAGCACCGTGTAGGAGCGGAGGTCCAGCGGCTCCTCGATGGCCGACAGCTTCTTGAGCAGGTGCGGCGCCGCGTCGCCGCCCCGGCCCATTTCCGCGATCCGCGACCTTCCGCGGTGTGCTGTCGCTCTACGGTGCCGTTTTTGCGACGGGAAAGCTGGCCTGTGGTGCGAGCGAGCGGTGCGCTGCGCCTCTACAGTCTTGAATTGGAGGAGCTGACGCGCTTGTGCAACCCGAAGCTTTGTTTCTTCCACCGATGTTCACGATTGAGGCCGGGCGCAGGCGTGAGGCGTTCAGCTGATCAGGCCGGCTCGAGGAAGTTCAAGGAAGACGTCAACGACACGCTTCGTGGCGGTGCCTCATTTTGGCTTGTTCCCCGCGCGCGCGGGACGGCGTCGTCCGTCGGGCATCAAGCCGGGCCCACCGGTCGCCCGCCGCGCGCGGCCAGCGACTGTGCCAGTCGCCTGAAGACCACACCGTGCTGCAGCGCGACGTCGACTCCTCGTCTTCGCGGTCGCGGTCGAGCCGGTGGAGCTCGTTCTCGGTCTGGGACGCTTCCTTCGCGGCCTGGAACATTCTTTTGCCGTGCTTCGCGTCCTCGGCGTAGGAGTCGCAGCCCGTGCGGCCGCCGTCGGCGACGGTCTCGTTCTCCTAGGCCGCGTACGTCGACGCGCTCGTGCTCCTGTCCTACCTCAAGTACTACGAGGGCCAGCTCGAGGGCATTCAGGACGACGAGCTCAAGAAGCAGGCGCTCGCGGCGCGCGCGCCGTCACGGTTGCCTTCCTGCAGAAGGAGCAGGCCAGCTTCGCCGTCAAGGTCCGCGAAGGCCTGGTGACGTGCTCTAGTGACGTGCCTGCGCGTCGTCGGCGCGGCCGGCGGCCCTTCGCGGCGCTATGCGCTGCCGAACGCCGCGTGTGTACTGGCCTGGCGCGAGACGCCATTACGCCCGCGCCTACGGCCAAGACACCAGGCTATAGGCGACACGCGCATCGGCGCAGCCGATCCCAGGCCAAGCAGATCGCCACGGCTCGAAGTCCTGACGCTGTCTTTGAGCTATGGCTGCGATCAAGACTCTGCTCTGCCTTGCGCCCGCGCTCGGCCTCGTCGCGCGCGGCCCGGCCCTGCCGACCTATGCCGCGCGCGCTGGCGTCGCGCCCATGGCGATGCGCACGTCCGTCATTGGCGGCAATTGGTGCGTCCCGCTGCGGCGATGGGCGGAGGCTGGACTCGATAACCCCCGAACGCTCGTAGGAAGATGAACCCGACGTCGCTCGCTGACGCCAAGGAGCTCGCGACGGTCGTCGCCGCGGAGACCGCCGACATGCCCGGCGAGGCGATCATCTTCCCGCCGCGCGGCGCCCGCGTCCCCGGCGCGCGGCCGCGGCCGCCGGCTCACTCGACCCGCAGGTTCCCCTTCATCGGCGCCGTGTCCGAGATCATCAAGGACACGAAGCTGCACCTCGGCGCCCAGTCCTGCTTCTTCGAGGACTCGGGCGCCTACACGGGCGCGGTCGCGGCGTCGATGGTCAAGTCGATGGGCGTGACGTACATCCTCACGGGCCACAGCGAGCGCCGCTCGCTCTTCATGGACGACGACACCGCCGTCAACAAGAAGACGCTGAAGGTCCTCGAGTCCGGCATGATCCCCGTGCTCTGCATCGGCGAGACGAAGGACGAGTACGACGCGGGCCTCTGCGAGAGCGTCTGCGCGATCCAGCTCGCCAAGGACCTCGCGGGCGTCTCCGCCGAGGACATGAAGAAGATCGTCATCGCCTACGAGCCCGTCCCGCGCCGCGTCCGACGACCGGGCGCGTTTTTTTACCGCGCGACCGCGGACGTCCGACGTCGCCCGCTCGCAGGTCTGGGCCATCGGCACGGGCCTCGTCTGCCCCTCGGACAAAGCCCAGGAGGTGCACAAGTTCATCCGCTCGAAGCTCGCGTCGATGTACGACGAGGCGACGGCCGACGCGGTCCGCATCCAGTACGGCGGCTCCGTGACGCCCGACTCCGTCGACGAGCTCATGTCCATGCCCGACATCGACGGCTGCCTCGTCGGCGGCGCGAGCCTCGTCGGCGACAAGTTCGCCCGCATCCTCAACTACAAGTAGGGGGGCTCGTTGTTCCGGAGCGCCCGCGCCGGCCCCCTCGTCGGGCCCCGCGCGGCGCTCCCCTTCGTCCGTGTTAGAGCAGACACACCAGAGCTCGAGCGTGTGCGGGGGAAGAAGCAGAACTTAGGGGGCGAGGGAGGAGGGCAAAACGGTCAGACGACGGCCGCGTCCGAGGCCGCGGGCGCGACGGGCGCGTCGTCGCCCTCGTTGTCGAGGAGCGAGAAGCCGTAGAGCTCGCGGAGGCCCGTCGCGGCGGCGGCGTTGGGGTCCATGGTCGACTCGAGGTGCTTGATGCGCTTGACGGCGACGACCATGACCGCGCACCACGTGAGGAACGCGACGGCCAACCACAAAAAGAGGTGGACGTCGACGAGGATGAGGAACCAGTAGAGGAAGAAGGTGAAGTGCGTCGTGCGGAGGGCCCAGGGCCACTTGATGACGTGGACGAGCCCGAGGAAGCGCTCGCAGCAGCAGCCGCTGCCCGCGGCGTCCGAGTCGGGCGCCAACCCGTCGGCCTTGGCCGCGCGCAGCGGGCACAGATTGTCGCAGCCGCTCAAATTCGCGTCGTCGTCGCCGCCCGTGTTCGGGCTCAGCTCGATCTCCAGCGCCTCGAGGTGCGACGCGAGGAGCCGCACGGGCAGCCAGTACCACGAGAATACTAAGGTGAGCACGAACAAGAACCCGGCCTCGTTGGCCGTGATCTCGCCGTCCTTGGCCTTCTCCTCGTGGAGCTCGAAGGCCGTGTGGCCCTCCATGATCGCCGTGACGATGCAGGTCAAAGCGACGCACTGCGCCGTCGCGTAGCCGACCTGTGTGGAAATCAACCAGTGAGCTGGGACGTCGGGGCCAATCTTCGAATTTCTCGAGCGCGGTCGAATCGAAGTCGATTCGGCTGATTTTTGGACGAATCGATTGCTCTCAACAAGTTCGCGAAGCTGGGCCGAAGGGTCTGGTCCAAACCGTTCAATTACGCTCACATTGAAGTCGGGTTGAAGATTTGATTCCCACGCAGTACCCTACCGCCGACGCCGTCGCGTAGACGACGGACGCCTCGCGCCTTTGCGCGGCGCCCGCGTGGTGGTGCGCGCGCCGCCGCCGCGCGGCCCGTAACGCATTCACGAGCCACAGGTCCTCGATGAAGCAGAACGTGCCCCACATGCCGAAGATGAAGACGAGCGTCCCCAGTTGCCAGACGTCGAAGAAGTGGAGCGCGCCTAAAATCGGGCCGAGCACGAGGGACCCCGTGAGCACGGCGGCGACGGACGCCGTGCCCATGGCCGTCACGGACTGGACGAAGAGGCCCGACACGTAGGACGCGAGCACGTGGTCGAGCGGGCACCGGCTCGGGTCGCGCTGCCACCAGCGCACGAGCTGGCCGAGCGTCGGGAGGAGGAGCGCGAGCACGACGAGCATGAGCTGCCAGTGCCAGAGGCCCATGAGCACGACGATGAGGAAGAGCGCGCCGAGCGCCGCCGCCGTCCAGGGCTTGAGCCGCGCGAGCTGGCCACCGAGCGTGCCGTAGGACTCCTGGAGCTGGCCCGACCGGAGGTCGTCGCTGTCGGCCCGAGCCCGGTTCAGCGCCGCGCTGTGGATCTCGCCCTCCTGCTCCATGATCTCGACGTGGGACGCGAGCTCCATCGCGTCTTCGCACGGACGAGGCGTGTGGCGGCTTTGCCACGGCCGAGACCTTCGCGGCGCGGCAAGGCTTGCGACCTCGCACACGGTAGGCCTAGTTCCCGCATAGACAAATGGAACATTCTTGATAAATTAAAGTGTCTACTTGTGCGCGAGCGTCGACCGCAGGCGCGGTCGGTGCGCGGAGCGGCGCGCGCGCTTAGCCCATCATGTCGTCGCCCTCCTCGTCCTCGTCGAACTCGCCCTCCTCCTCGGCCGTCGCGTCCTGGTACTGCTGGTACTCGGAGACGAGGTCGTTCATGTTGGACTCGGCCTCCGTGAACTCCATCTCGTCCATGCCCTCGCCCGTGTACCAGTGGAGGAACGCCTTGCGGCGGAACATGGCCGTGAACTGCTCCGCCACGCGCTTCCACGTCTCCTGGATGGCCGTGGAGTTGCCGATGAACGTCGTGGACATCTTGAGGCCCTTGGGCGGGATGTCGCAGATCGCGGACTTGACGTTGTTCGGGATCCACTCGACGAAGTACGACGAGTTCTTGTTGATGACGTTGAGCATCTGCTCGTCGACCTCCTTCGTGGACATGCGGCCGCGGAAGAGGCACGAGCACGTGAGGTAGCGGCCGTGGCGGGGGTCCGCGGCGCACATCATGTTCTTCGCGTCGAACTGCTGCTGCGTGAGCTCCGGCACCGTGAGCGCGCGGTACTGCTGGGAGCCGCGCGACGTGAGGGGCGCGAAGCCGACCATGAAGAAGTGGAGGCGGGGGAACGGGACCATGTTGACCGCGAGCTTGCGGAGGTCGCAGTTGAGCTGGCCGGGGAAGCGCAGGGAGCACGTGGTGCCGCAGAGGGCCGCCGCGATGAGGTGGTTGAGGTCGCCGTACGTCGGCGTCGTGAGCTTGAGCGTGCGGAAGCAGATGTCGTAGAGGGCCTCGTTGTCGAGGGTGAAGCACTGGTCCGAGTTCTCGACGAGCTGGTGGACGGAGAGGGTCGCGTTGTAGGGCTCGACGACCGTGTCCGACACCTTGGGCGACGGGATCACCGAGTAGGTCGACATGACGCGGTCGGGGTACTCCTCGCGGATCTTGGAGATGAGGAGGGTGCCCATGCCGGCGCCCGTGCCGCCGCCCATGGAGTGGGTGAGCTGGAAGCCCTGGAGGCAGTCGCAGGACTCGGCCTCCTTGCGGACGACGTCGAGGACGGAGTCGATGAGCTCGGCGCCCTCCGTGTAGTGGCCCTTGGCCCAGTTGTTGCCCGCGCCGGTCTGGCCGAAGACGAAGTTGTCGGGGCGGAAGAGCTGGCCGAAGGGGCCCGCGCGGACGGAGTCCATGGTGCCGGGCTCGAGGTCCATGAGGATCGCGCGGGGCACGTAGCGGCCGCCCGTCGCCTCGTTGTAGTACACGTTGATGCGCTCGAGCTGGAGGTCCGAGTCGCCGTGGTACGTGCCCGTGGGGTCGACGCCGTGCTCATCGGAGATGACCTCCCAGAACTTGGCGCCGATCTGGTTGCCGCACTGGCCTCCCTGGATGTGGACGATCTCACGCATCTTGAATAACCTAAAAGAATGACGGGGTCGGGGTCGCCGGGGGCGGCGGAGGGCGGGGGGGCGGCGGGAGCGCCCGCGGGGCTGCGGATCGCCCCGGGGGCGGCGGCAAAAGACGGACGCAGCCGCTCGCGGTTTGTTGGTGGTTGCGCAGTTTTGATTAAGCACAGCGCGGCTGCTGGAGATATACAGAAGTGCAATGTGCAGATACGCCTTGTGGCAAAGCCGCCGCCGCCGCCGCAGCTACCGGCCGCTCGCAGTTCGTCGCGTCGCCCGGCCGCAACCGCCGCCTCGCGCCGCGCCGCAGCCCTCGGACATGTCGTCCGAAGTCGAGGAGACCCTGCGACGCATCCAGTCGCACCGCGGCGTCAAAGGTGCGGCGCCGGCGTCCCGACCGATTCAAAACCTGCGCGGCGCCTGATGGGTGTGTTCCCGTGTAGGCGTGCTGATCGTGAGCGCGCAGGGCGTGCCGATCCGGTCGAACCTCGAGAACGAGGAGACGAACACCTACGCGGCGCTGCTGTCGCAGCTCGCGATGAAGGCGAGCTCCGTCGTCCGCACGCTCGACGAGACGGACGAGCTGACTTTTTTCCGCATTCGGTCGAAGAAGCACGAGATCATGATCGCGCCCGACGCCGAGTACTTGTTGATCGTCATCCAGGAGACCGCGAGTTGAACGCGGCCGGACCCGCCTCCGCGCGCGCTCCGCGCCCGGACTCCCGCAAGATAAGCGTCGTACAAGGCTCCTACGGCCGCGGGAAGCGCGCGCCGTGCGCGGTCTCCCAGGCCGCGAGGTACTCGGGCCGATAGCCCCAGGGGAACGTCGTCGCCGCGTTCTCGCCGTTGTAGGGCGCGTTCGCGTCGCCCGCGCGGAGGAGCGCCCACGGCTCGTCGGCCGCGTCGCGCGCGAGGACGTAGCAGCCCGCGGGCGCCATCTTCAGCTCCGGCGTGAGCTCGTCGCCGAGCATCCAGGCCACGAGGCCGACGCTCGCCGCGTGCGACGTGAGCACCAGCGTCGACGTCGCCTCGCTCGCGAGCCGCGCGTCGAGCTCGCGCGCGAGCTTCTCGCCGAACGCGGCGATGCGCTCCATGTAGCCCAGCGGCCAGCTCTCCTCGTCGCTCATGGGGTCCGGCTCGCCCTCGACGAGGCGCGGGAAGTACGCGAACCGCTCCGCGTAGGGCGCGACGTTCGTCCGCCTGTGCGAGACCTCGGCGACGCCCGGCTCGAGCGTCAGCGGCAGGTCCAGGGCGTCGCAGAGCGGCATGGACGTCTGGATGCAGCGGAGATAGGGCGAGGTCCGCACGCGCACGGAGCCGCCGCGCGCCCTCAGAGCGGCGGCGGCCGCTAGCCCGAATTTGTTGGCCTGTCGATGGCCGAGCGTCGACAGCGGCGGATCGCGCGGCCGGCCGCCAATGGCCTTGATTTTTTCTTTCCAGGCAGGTGTTGCGTAGTCGTGGCGGTCGCCGTGGCGCACGAGCGAGCTGAAAGCGGCGCCCGCCTGGGCGCCTGGCGCGCGCGCGCGCGTGCGGACTGCCACAGCTACGCGCGCGGTCGAACCGCCACTTGTAACGACATCCCATTAAAAGTCTAAACGTCGTCGTGGAGCGCCGCCTGGAGCCGCCGCGCGGAGACGGCGTTGAGGAGCGCGCGGCCCGGCCCGAGCGAGAACGAGTCCCGCGCCGCGGACCCGACGAGCTCGCAGACGATCTCCTCGTCGTCGCGGGCCGCGTCCCAGGCGCGGCCCGGCGACCGCGGCGCGTCGTCGCGGCTCGCGACGTGCGCGGGCGCGGCCGCGACCTTGGGCTTGGGTTTCACGCGGCCGCCGACGACCTCGAGCGCGACGTCGAGGTCGCTGTAGTTGGGCCGGGGCCGGCGCCGCGGCGGCGACGGCGCGGGCGGCGCGGACGGCGCGAGCGTCGTCGTCGCCCAGCCCGCGCCGGGCGTCGACGACGGCGCGGGCTTCGCGGCCCAGGGGTCGACCCACCGGTCGCCCGGCGGCGCGTCGTCGGCGGCGCTCTTCCCCCGCGACAGGGCCAGCGCCGCCGCCGCGCCGGAGCCGGCGCTCCCGAAGGTCGAGTCCGGCGGCCGCCGCGTGCCCGAGCCCGTCGACGCCGCGCCCCAGGCGCGGTTCCGCTTGGCCTCGTCGAGGGACGCGCGCGCGGCTTTCGCCGCGGCGGCGGCCGCGTCCGCGTCGTCGCGCTGGCGGCGCCAGTCGCCGAGGCGGGCGAGGAGGGCGAGGTGGAAGGCGACGCGCGCGCGGACGACGGCGGAGAGGCGCGACGGCGGCGCGGCGCGGTCGTAGGGCGGCGCGCGGCGCGCGAAGTCGCGCGCGTGGACGAGCGTGAGCTCGCGGCCGGCGAGGACCGGCGGCGGCACGTCGTCGGGCCCGGCGCCGAGGAGGCGCAGCAGCTCGCAGACGTCGTCGCGGCCCCAGTCGTCGACGCGGCCGTTTGGCCGCGCGTCGTGGACGTGCTTCAAGGCCGCCGCGGGGCCGCGGATGAGCTCGAGGAGCCGCTTCTGCGCCACCTTGGCGCGGCGCTCCGTGAGGGGCCGGCTCAACGCGTAGTCGAAGGTCGCCGCCGCGGCCGTGACCGTCGCGCGCGCGGCGTCGACGGACGAGAGGTCGAGCGCCGCGGTTTTTCCGGCGGGGCTCAGCGCGGGCATGGCCGCGGCGAACGCGTCGCCGGCGTCCTCGACGATGGCCAGGGCGCGCAGCACGGTGGCGACGTCCTCGCGGCCGAGGCGCAGGTCGCCGCAGACGTCCTCGGACGCGAACTTCCACGCCGCGGGCAGCGCGGCCCGGAGCGACTCGGCGTCGCGCCACGCGACCGCGGCCCGGGCGTCCTGGGCCGCCCAGAACTCGGGGCTCCCGCGCGCCGGCGGCGGCGGCGCCTTTTTGGGGTCGGGCTTCTTCTTCTTTTTTCGGGTTCGTTTCTTGCCGTTCGACGACGCGAGCGACTTGCGGTCGTTCAGCAGCGCGGCGAGGTCGCGGTCGCCGGCTTCGTTGGCGAGGTCCAGGGGCGTCTTGCCGCCGCCGTTCCTCGGCGCCCGGGCGCAGCCGAGCCCGAGCAGGCACAGGACCGCGAGCCGCTGGCGGCACATGACCGCGAAGTGGAGCGGCGCGTCGCCGTCCGCGTTCGGCGCCTCGAGCGCGCGGACGCCGAGCCGCTCCGCGAGCGCGTTGAGCACGTCGACGCGGCCGCCGGGCGCCGCCGCGTGCGCCGCCGACGACCCCCGCGCGTTCAACGCCGCGCCGTAGGCGCCCGCGCCGTCCAAGAGCCAGGTCACGACGGCCACGTGGCCCCCGAATGCCGCGCGGTGCAGGGGCGCCCAGCCCCCCTTGTTGCTCCGGTTCGGGTCCGCGCCGGCGTCGAAGAGGAGCTTCGCGCAGACGAGGTGGCCGCCCGCGCACGCGAGGGCCTGTGTGGAAATCAACCGGTGAGCAGGGACGTCGGGGCCAAGCTTCAGAAATCTCTAGCTCGGACAAATCGAAGTCGATTCGGCTGATTTTTTGGACGAATCGATTGCTCTCGTCGAGTTCTCGAAGCACGGCCAAAGAGTCTGGGCCGAACCGTTCGATTACGCTCACATTGAAGTCGGTTTGAAGATTTGATTTCCACACGGGCGAGGGCCAGCGCCGTCGAGCCGTCGCCGTCGCCCTCGTCGACGCCCGCCGCGAGCTCGCCGACGCGGCCGACGCAGTCCTTGACGCCGTCGGCCATGCCCAGGGACGCGGCCCGGCGCAGGTACTCGCCGAGCTTCTGGGGCGTGTCCACCGGCGGCGGGTCCGCCGCGTCCTCGGCCCGGGGGTCCGCGGCGACGCTCGGCTCGGACGCGGACTCGTCGTCCGAGTCGCTGAACTCGGCGAGGCGCGCCCGGGCCTTGGCCGCGGCGATGGCCTTGCGCCGCTCGACGGCGGCCTTGCGCCGCCAGGACTTTTGCAGCTCCACGGACGCGGCCTCGCGCGCGATCCTCTCGAGCTCCGCGACGCGCGCGCGCTCCGCGGCCGCGGCCTCGCTCGCGCGCCGCGCCTCCTCGGCGTGCCGCTTCTCCTCGACGCCGCGCGTCGCCACCTTGGCGCGCTGGGAGCACTGGAGCGTGACGGCGGCGTCGTACTTCTCCCGCTCCGCGCGGCGCGACATCTCCGCGCGGATGGCCTCGAGGTCCTCGCGCGGCGACGGCTGCGCGAAGGCCGCGACCTTGGCGGCCTCCTTGGCCTGCCGCTTCTCCGACGCGACGGCCTTGGCCTCGACGATCTCCGCGCGGCTCCGCCAGCTCTGCTGGATCGTCTCCGCGGCCTGCCCGCGCGCCATTTCTCGCTCCTTGGCGAGCCGGAGCTCGCGCTCGTGCTTCAGCTTGAGTTCGACCTCGTCCACAAAAAGCACGTCCACGGGCAGGAGCGCCTCCGCCGTCGTCTCGCCGTCGACGAGCGCGACGCCGAGCCGCCCCATGCGCTCGAGCAGCTCGAGGTTGTTTTTCGCGCGGCTCGTGATCACGCCGCGGCGCCCGGCGAAGCGCGCGACCGTCGGCTCGAGGGCCTGCGTGCCGGCGTCGTCCTCCTCGAAGGGCTCCAGCGCCGCGCGCAGCTCCGCGGCGTCGCTCACGGCGACGTGCGTCCCCACCTTGCATTCCTTGTAGGTCAGCGCCTGCGGCATCGTGGGTGATGAGCCTTGCGAGACCGTCGCCGAGCGCGAGCGCCGGACCGCCGTCGACGACGCGCCGCTGCGTCCACCGACGACGGCGGCAGCCCCAACCGCTGGCGCACGGTTTACACGCTCTCTCGGCGTTGAGGTCTGGGCTGCCTGCTCGGTGTAGATTTCGCGTATCCGATCCGATCGGGGCAGCCCTCGCATTCGAGTGCCTCAGCTTTGCGACAGGCGCCAGTGGCAGTGAGCAAGCTCGCGGAGAGCCCTGCTCCGGTGCGCCCCGACGTCGCGGGCCGGTTCCACGCGGTCCTTTCGGCTCTCGGCGACGCGCCGTGACCGCGCGACGGCGGCGTCGCGATTCCTGTTTCCGTGGTCGGGGGCTGCGGGCGACGGACGGTGGCCGGTGCCGCGGCGGACGGCGGTCGAGGCGCGACGTCCGGGACCGACGCCCCCCGCCCGCCGTCGGGCCTCCGCGCGGCTTCGCGGACGGACCCGACGACGGCGGCGAGGGTCGCGCCCGGGGGTTCGCGGCGTCGCTCCGTCCGAGCCGGCCGGCCGCCGCGG